GGTAGGTAGGTAGGTAGGTAGGTAGGTAGGTAGGTAGGTAGGTAGGTAGGTAGGTAGGTAGATAGATAGATAGATGACAGACAGACAGACAGACAGAAAGACAGAGAGAGAGAGAAAAAGGGGGAGAGAGAGAGTGAGAGAGAAAGGGAGAGAGAGAGAGAAAGGGGGAGAGAGGGAGGGAGAGAGAGAGAAAAGAAGATTAAATTCCTATGCCATCCATCTCCTCTATCAGCTGACACATTCAAAGAACACACCTTGAATGCCTTTTGAGAACGGCTAACAGTTTTACAGCTGTGCTACGCCTGATTGCATTGTATATATTGGCGCGTTTGTTAGTATTTGCCTCAGCATCTTGCCATTTGGGGAGCTTGGCTCTCTGTATTCGCAAAATGCAAACATTGTGGTTATAACACAAAAGTTCTGTTTGCATAATTCCCACTGAGAATCTTGAGAAAGCTTTTCTGTTTGTGATTTCTGATTTTTTTAGAATGGCTTGTCAGGTGTTGAAAAGGGTGCTTATATAATAAGCTGGCTTTGCCCAAATGGGACAGAATAAGCTTTATGAGCCGCAGTGGCGCAGTGGTTAGAGTGCAGTACTGCAGGCTATTTCTGTTGATCTCCGGCTGCCAGGAGTTTGGCAGTTCGAATCTCACCAGGCTTAAGATAGACTCAGCCTTCCTTCCTTCCGAGGTGGGTAAAATGAGGATTCAAATTGTTGGGGGGCAAGAGGCTGACTCTGTAAACTGCTTAGGGCTCTAAAGCACTATGAAGCGGTATATAAATTTAAGTTCTATTGCTATTAAAGCAAAAACTATCATTAACTTAGATCACTGATTGTCAAAGATTTTGGCCTGAGGACCTTTTCCTTTGGGAGTTGTGAGTTTGTCCAACTTTGGCAACTTTAGGACCTATGGATTTCAGTCCCCAGAATTCCCCAGCCAATTCTCAGAGTTCAACTCCACAAGTCTTAAAGTTGCTGCTTTACATTCCTTAGAGTAACTGAGTACCCCAAAGGCCTTTGTTTTACCTGGATGATATCCATTGATATTTTCTGTATTAGAAATTAAAATTGAGAATTTTAAAAAGTATTTTATTTGACTTTGCACGCTGCTTGAAAGGCTCCTGGGGGACCCTAATCCCACAGATTAGGCCTCCTCCGTATTCCATCTGCCAGCCAATGTCGGCTGGCGACTACTCG